GTCAATCTATGGGTTGAGACAGACTTCCTGACAGTGATTTCATAAGTTCTCACAAGTATTACTTCAAGAAGGTTTCTATCAGTCACAATGTGACCACTCCTTATTTGTCAAGCATCAGGGTAATGTTTTCTTAGCATTGTTGGTGTATGTTGATGATATTGTCATTGCTGTTAATGATGATCATGGCGTCGAAGAACTCAAAGTTGTATTCAAATAAAAATTTAAAATGAAAGATTTGGGAACTCTCCGATATTTTATTGGACTTAAAATTACAAGAAATGACACATGAATCACCTTATGCCAAAGAAAATATGTTTTAGATCTGTTAACTGAAACTAGATACCTTGGTTGTAAGCCTTCATCTACTCTCATGGAACCCAATATTGAGATGTCTAAAGATGATGAAGAACTTCTGTCTGATATCACAAGTTATCGGCGACTGATTAGAAAATTGTTGTACTTAACCATCACTCGCCCTGATATATGTATGCTATTCTGTCAATAGACTGAGTCAGTTCCTTGCTGCTCCTAGGACCAGTCACCTTCGAGCTGTTTTGCGGATTCTTCAGTACATCAAGAAAACACCTGACAATGTCTCTTCTTTCCTTCATCATCTGCCATTCAGATTAAAGCTTTTTCTGATGCTGATTGGGGCACATGTCCTGACACTAGAAGATCTCTAACTGGTTATTGTATTTTTCTTGGGTCTTCATTAGTCTCATGTAAATCAAAGAAACAACAAGTTGTATCTCGGTCATCTGCAGAAGCCGAGTATCATTCCATGGCCAACACTACATGTGAAATAGTGTGGATTCTGAATTTATTGCGAGACTTAAAGGTGCAACATCAAAGTCCTGCATTATTTTACTGTGATAATCAGGTAGTTCTACACATTGCTTCAAATCCAGTATATCATGAGAGAACAAAATATATTGAACTTGACTGTCATTTTGTCCGTGAAAGAATCCAAAATGGTACCTTGAAGACGATGCATATATCCACTCGGAATCAAGTGACAGATTTAATGACAAAAGCGCTTCATCCTACGTAGTTCGACAATTTATTAAACAAGATGGGTACAATAAATTTGTATTCTTCATCTTGAGGAATAGTATTAAGATTAATTAAAAGATTAATTAGTGATAAGATGAAATTAGTATGTTAATTGTAATTATTTTTGTTTTTTCCTCTTTGCTATTGTACAATAAAAACTGCATATATTTTTTTTCACTGTCAAGGAATACAATCAGAAGAATTAGAGTAATTTTTCTTCTTCATTATGCTCTTTCTTCTCCTTTCTAACAAAACTAAAGATTTGATGGGTAAACTATAACAAAATATATATATATATATATATATATGGACCAATGTACTAGTTAAAGTTATAGATGATTGAATGATATATATATATATATATGTATATATACATATATATAATTGGTAAGCTCAAGTTACTTTAGGTTCAAATTAGATAATTCGACAAAAAATTCTTGTCTACCAAAGATAAGGTGGCTGAAAGGAGCGTAGGATAAGCTGACATGGCCAAGACAAGACAGGATAAGAAGATCACTTCGGATATTCAGAAAAAAAAAAAAAAGAAAAACAAGCGCAATCCGACACCGTCCGGAATCGGCCGTGAAATTAACGGCGGGCCGCATTGAAGCGGAAGTTTCAGGTCAACGTCACCGGCGGCGGCATGGATAAGAACTGAAACCAACGTTTCCACCAATGGCAACCGCGACACGTGTCCCGTTGATATTCCCCGCATTTCCTTCCTTAAGAACTACTGACCCGGTTCGGTTGGTCCCATCAATTCGGTTCCCTAAGAGCTTTCCCGAATCTTCCTCCTCTTCTTCTCTTCGCTCTTCTTCCTTCTCAAAATCGTCTTCGTTTCTCACGAGCAGAGAACCTGATAAGGGGTTTGGGAGAGTCCGAATTGTTGTAGCTGCTGCATCGATGGCGGATTTGTCTCCTAGCACTGTACTGGTCACTGGTGCTGGTGGCAGAACAGGTTTTGATTTTTTTTTGGGATTCGGTTATTTTCTTTTGGTTTTTGAAGTTGTGTTTTGTTCTCTGATATGTTTGGTTTATGATTTCGTGGAATTGTTCTGAAGAGTTGAAGGATTTTGCAAATGGATTCGCTTGTTTATCGTAGTTTGTCGTTTTAGGACTCGGCGTCTTGGCTAGTAGTTTCTTTTAATTTATATATCTAGTTTGGATAGTTCAAGCACGCTATCAAATCCTTGGTGATGCACGATGAAAGGTTAAAGGATTTTGGTGATGTTAACAGAGCGTTCTATCTCAGCTTTTCGAAGAATAAAATCAATTTGGGAAATTTATGGCTCCCATATCAGACTCACATAGGTGAAAATTGAAATCTGTAGTCTTGAGACTGGAAGGTTATGTGAGAGGCATGTAGCTAGTTAAGCTAATATGTATCGTCTAGA